GGTGCATCTTTAGTATCTGATCAGTGCTGTTTTGACTTGCGCCAAAACAATTATAAAGCCATTTCTGATGTTTTAAGCTGGTATGTGTTAGACACTATTTGGATGTCTTATGTCATTATCTTTTGAAAGATTTACTGGATTTTGAGCTTATAATGGATATGTAAGAAATATTGAACAAAGCAGATGACTTGTGCGGTAAGGCTTTTAATTTGATAGTTTGTATTATGTTGCCAATCAGAACTAGAACTAGAATTTTATTTATAATACTGTAATTTTAAATTAATCTATAATAATACAAATAATAATCCTTACATGCGTATAGCACTTTTCACATTAGATGAACATCTCAAAACGCTTCACAGGATATGCTATGAAGTGGAGTGACTTTGTGTTTTGTGGGCGAATATATATATTTACCTACAAAATATTCAGTCACTGCGTTTCGTAGTAAAAATCTTGCCTTATATCAAATGCAAGGATTATTTATTATTATATAAAAACTATCAAATTAAAGAATAAGGTTAAACTACTTCTTATCATACAATAACTCAAAGACAATAATGTTCTTGGGGAACAATCCCTATTATCATTTTGGTGATTGAGAAAATATGTGGAGAAACACGAGTGGTTTAAACTGTTGCCTGAAACCAAATTGAGATTACTTCCAAGGCATCACTCTTATGTATTCGTCACTTGTTGCAATGTATACTGTGAAATTGTTTAGAGTGAAGATTTACATTATTTTCATTGCCACAAGTTAGAGATACAGCCACTGAGGACACAGTGTGTCATTGACGTGTCCTGAGATATCCATGTTGCCGAATATATTACAAAATCTGTTAAGAAGCATCATTTGACCCAGTATGGCTAAAATTTTTGATTATACTGTGTATTCCTTTATGTCATAATTTATTGCCCATTATTAGGAGATAATTTCTGTTGCTAGATTGTCTGTCAAACCCGAATGCAATTGAATCTAATCTGCCAATGTTCTCCTCTCTCTTCCTCCTCTCTTGAAGGCAGCTTTGACTGCTTTTCCTTCTGCTTGTCTATGATCCATGGATACCAGTCACTATCAGATACCTCACCCAATTGGTCACTATTCATGTGTGAATGCTGTCAGGTTATTCTACCATGGAAGTCACCCCCATTTTTCCCCCGCAACCCCATTCAGCTCCCAGCCCCCCTTAGTTTGAATGCCAGACAGCCATGTGCCCGTTTGGAGACGTCCTCCTCATGTGAAAGGCACTATGTAAATGTAAACCGTATTGAACTGTATTACACTTGAATCCGAACCCATTCTCACAAGAGCATCTTTCAACAGTGATCTCTGAATAGCGATCAAGAATGAGTCCCTAGTTGAATTTCCTCTCCCTACCACATGAGTTCTGAGGCCAATGGTAGCACCCTAAATGAGATTAGCCAACTCAGCATTGACCAAGATTGGAGCCTGCAACCTGTGGTCTGCATGGCTTTGTGTTGCACCAGTCAGTAACTTTCCCCTCCAGACTATCAGAGGAGGTGGGAGGAATCTCAATCGTGTTCTCCAATTGAACACACATTAACATTATAATATATTAAACTGGACTAAACTGTTGCATGTTTTGGGGGAGAAAAAGTAGATGAAACATGTCATTCAAGGTCTGAGAAGTGATAACAGGGTCATAAGTTAAGAACCATAATAAGGGAACAATTTGAAGGGATGGCTACCCTCAGGCACAACAACATTTTGTTCCTCTGTAATTACACAGCATTAAGACAACATCTTAATGGCACTGAACACTTATGTAAAACAAGGTCAATTGACTGTTCTTGCCATAATTATACCAATAGCCTGATGGCTTCACATCATTCTTTTGCCTTGTTGGCCCTCGGTTATTTGTTGTAATGGGGGTATCCTCTGGTGGTCGATTGAAATCGCTGCAACTCAAAAGAATTGATACCAGTTCCAGACAGATCTTACCCTCTGCACTGTGTGAATTCATGGAAAGGGATCTTTGCGGTCTGTGCGATAGGAGACCCTGGGGCAGGAGGGGGTGGGCGGGCACAGATTTAAGAATTCTCGGATTCAATCAGGATGTGTATTATTACCACTGACAGTTACCTGAGAGTGACACTTTATTATTACTAACTCAGGTACCAGCCACTGCTGCCTACAAAAAGTGCACTCTGTACAGATCACTTTCAAGGCAAAGCATTCTGCCAGATAAGATATGAGGAAGGTGGATAATGGAGAAGTTAATTGGGGCAAGGATAATGAAGGTTCCACACTAAAGGTTATATGAAATGAGTTTTACTTTCTACGTTGTCACAAATGTTTTTGAAATGAAAAATTCAATTAGATATGGTTATTCTATTCAGAATTACTTTTCATTTCATGTTGTCCTCTGAACTCCTTTGATCCTAATCCTTGCCCAGATATGAAGCCATATAATTTCTGAACACCTCACTATTACTTGACAGCAATCTCGAGAAGGAAGATTCAGCAATTCAGTAAGATCAATGATCCTTGAAGAACAGGAGTATATTAACTAGAGTTAGAAACAGAAACTGTAGTTTGAAAGATAATTGCATAGACATTTAGATTCCGTTGTTTTTCTTAACTTTAATATGAAAGATACCCATTAACTAGAACATTCAGGAGAACAGCATCAATTTAAACACTAATATTGCTCAAATACCTCTGTGGCCAAAGAAACAGAGGTCATGGTCAGGAAACTACAAGCCCAAAGTGATTTAAGGGGAAACTTCATCAGGCTCAAGAGTACAGTTGCAAATTAATGGTGCAAACTGGCAATTGTGAAAGAACCTATTGAATAATAGTAATAATCCTTGCATTTGCATTTGATATAGTGCCTTATCATATTGTCAAAATGTCTCAAAGCACTCTACAGAATGTACTGTAAAGTGGACTGACTGACCGTATATTTTGTGGGTGAAATTGATAAGTAAATGGGCAGGCAATGATGAGGGAGGGAAGTTGAAGGAATCATACCTGCTGTTGGGGAAGGATGGCAATGGAAGAGCCTATACAGCACATGATCCCAAGCATTAATGATCTCAGAAACTATCGAGATGGGCTTAATGGCTGTTTTGCATTGCATAGTTTTAGTATGTTTTTATTGCTTAATAACAGCAATAGTATCAAGTTTTCATGACCTTGAAAGTTACTGTTTTTTTAAGATTTTAAGTCTAACTCATTGTTACAAAATAAATGGACAGATTGCTAGTCTGATAAAGCCAGATCCAATGAAATTATTTTTAAAAAAATGTGTACATAGATTGAACGTAGTTTCAAAGATTCAGCTTCATTACAGAGTCATTTATCCTTCACTCCTTTATTATACAATACTGACTGAATATTTGAGGGATTCCAAGACACAGACACACATGCTTGTACAGTGCATGCTGCCAATAGGTCACTGATGCAACGACAACAGACATGAGAAGTGCAGTGCACTTTGGACAACAGGAAACAATACATTTGAGGTAGACAGGAGCCAAAAAGACCACAGTTAATCTTATCTGGTCTCATGGTAAATATTACTTTGTAAAGGAGGTGAAACAAATTGAAACATTGAGACTGATAATGTCAGACACCATTGAATAGAAATTCCAATTGCATCTAGATTTGGCGGCATTTCAGAGTGGACTGAATTTGGACTGATGCATTTTGCTTGTGGATATACAGTGGACGATTGGTGTTGGATGGTTTGAAAGCGCCACGGAAGGGCATGACAAGAACTCATAAAAATTAGAATACATCAAAATCTTAAATACAGACTTTAATTGTGAACAAAACGCAAAATACTGCAGATGCTGGAAATCTATGTTTCAATTGTCAAGTCGGTTTTCTCGAAGTTCTTTTAAGAAGTACAAAAACCGGCTGGCTTCAAAATCAATACCGAAGTCAACAATTTATCAGATTCTGTAAAATATGACATGTTATGTTCATAGAGTAAATCTAGACCCAGGGGCAGATGTGGAGTTGGTAGGAAACTCTTTTGTGTAACTAACCCTACTTTTTCTCAAAACAGCAATTTTTGTTTTAGGAATAAAAATCAAAGCAACGCTGCTTTAAACAGAAACCTCACCCAGAAGGGCAAAAAAAAAACCCACACACAACACTCAGGGAATTTATCCTCCAACTCACCTGGGAATGGACTGAATTTGGACTGATACATTTTGCTTCTGGATACACAGTGGACGGATGGGTGTTTGATGGTTTGAAAGCGTAGGGTATGACAAGAAGTCATAAAAATTACAGAATACCACGAAGTACCACATATGTTGCTGACAATACGGACGTGGAACGGTATCAAGTTACCAGCGAGAAGCCATGGGAGAAGATAAATAGCTGTAGCAGTGCCTGGACATTCCCTCTTAAACTGCAATCACTCAAAGCAACATGCAGCAAAACAGAAATGAGAAACAGGACGGGGGCTTTTAACTCGTAAAAGAATACCCAAAGCCTTTTAACCCTTATGCTTAACGATTTTAAGGACACTGGATGATTAATTTGCTTTCCCCCCCCTTCTTTTCCCAAGATTTGAGCAGCAAGAGCCTAGAAACAAACCCCTTGAACGGTATGAAAATTGCTGCACCTTTAAATCGAAGTGCAATGACCAAACCAAAATGCAAAATGTTATTCAGCAATAATCTCAAACATCATGCAAAAACCCACTCACCGCTGAGAGCCAACTATAATGCACTTTTTTTAAAAAAAAACCCACCAGCCTCCTCCTGCCTGGAGCACAGAGGGAGAAGTCGGGGATTTAGGGAAAATACATTTTGTGTATTCTCTTTTAAAAAAAAATAAGGAGAGAGAATAATAGAAGTTGTCAGTGTCCATTTGCACGTGTTTTTTTTAAAAAAAAATGCAAAACAAAATAACTTATTTGGTAGCATTTGGAAAGAAACGTTCAGGGGTTTCACATATATGCATATATATATATATATGTGACACACGTATATATGCATTATATATACACAGTACTTACTGAAGGGGCAGTTTTCCTTCTTTGTTCCCCCGACCTTGCCGTTGCTATCGATCTTGAGAAAGTATTTGGTGAAAGAGAAGAGTTTCCTCCACCGCACATCCCCTTCCAGGTACTTGTAGCTGCGCACATGCCTTCCGAGGCTGGACGAGGAGCCCGTGATATTGGGAGACAACATATCTCTGCTGATGTCATTGCAGCCAACAGACGAGGAACAGATGAGGAAAAGGAGGAAGACAGAAGCCAGGTGTGACAGGGCTGAGGCACTCTTTGTCAGTATCCATTTCCACATTGTACTGAAGCTCTTGGCACTGGAAAAAGTCTCATAAAAAGAAACATACTGGAATGCCGAGGACAATTATGAGGCAGGTTGAGAGTTTGGTGCTGGTCTTCTCCGTTTGACCTCTGTTATCCTTTGAATGAAGTTCATCAATACCCATAGCTCAGGTGATAAATCATCTCCACTGTTGGGGGGGGGGTGGGGGAGGGGGGGGGAGGGGGGGGGTGAGGCTCACCGATTTCGGACGATGTGTCGAACTCCTGTCCTCCTCAGGTATTGCTTCAGTGTGTTCTCTGTATCTCTGTGGTCTCTCTCTCTCACACACACACACACACACACACACACGGTTCGTGGTGTTTCTCTGCTGATTCCGCCTTCAGGAGAGGCAGCAGATACTGTAATATAAGTGGCTCCACAAAGGTACTCCTCAGTCCTCACTGTGTGTGTGTGTGTGTCTGGGTCCCAGAGCGGGATCTTGTTCAAGACCACGGGCTGCTTTAGTGGCTTTGAAGTGGGGAGGAGGTTGTTTTTTTTGGGGGGGGGGAGGGAGGGGAGGGTGGGAGGGTGGTGGGGGGGGGTTGGGTCTCTTGCAGAAAACAGGTCCCCCCCAAATAAAAAGGCTGGTGAAGAATGTCAGTGATCACCAACCACACCGAGGGGTGGGATGTGGTCGGTCAGGTCAGTCAGTAACGCCTGTTATGGATCAGGCGGCGGTGGACATCTGAAAACCATAGAGTGGAAGAAAAATCCCTTCTGAGCAACCGGTGCGGAGATGACTGACTGTGTGCCTTCTGGTGCTCTCGGTCCTGTTAATTGTCCTGACTCACTGCTCCCCTTTGCTGTGAAAGCCGACGACCACCAGCACGGACTGTGGAGTCACGCTTTACTAATCTCACTCTCTTCCGGGCTGAGCCCAACTCCCTCTAGGGAGCCCCTTTGGACTTGCTTTTCCAGCCTGGGCTTTACTCTCTCTCTCTCTCTCTTCTCTTCTCTCTCTCTCTCTCTCTCCCTCTCTCTTCTCTCTCTCTCTTCTCTCCTTCTCTCCCACTCGCTCCCTCTTGGCAGTGAGGTGGTGGAGAGCCACCTGGAGGAGTTCGCTGCTTTCTGAATGTTCCTGCACACGCGATGGGGCAGACGAGTCAGCAGCAGGAGCCCTGCAAACCAGATTACAGACTGGTCAGGAAGAGCACACAGTCAGTCAGTCAGTCAGACACACACACACACACACACACACACAGACAGACAGACAGAGTCAGTTCCTTTTTAACCTTTGTCAGCTCTGAAGGAGCTCCTACTGTATTTAATGAATCATCCCGACTATTTGCTTCCGCACAAGAAACAAAAGTGTTCACACTTCTCGCCCCCATCTTCCTTCCCCCCCTCCCACCACCACCTCCCCACCTCCCCACCACACCACACCCCTGTTTTTTTTTAAACTATATAAGGTTTTTCCGTCTGTTTAAGAGCTTTTGTGTGTGTGTGTGTGTGCTGGCAGGATAAAAGAAACCTCTGCAAACACTTTGTAATTGTTCACATGAGTTAACCCTCTGAATTATATTTCTTTCCTTCGAAGCCCATGCACCCAATTGGTATTATTTCGCCCGCAACAGTCAATTCACTTCACAGGATATTCTGAGACGTCCCAAAGACGCAATAAGGCACTATGTCAAATGCAAGGATCATTGTTGCTATTTCAAAGCCGCCATCGTATAAAAAAGCGCCAGTCTGCTTCTCTGCTGCTTAAACTTTAAAGCACGTAGAATACGGCATTTTTTTCTGATGTGCTTTGTGATGTCTGCATTGCACAACTTGACGTATTTATGAGTCGTTCAAAATGAGACTTCTCCCTCCCTCGCCACCCGCCCCAACCCCCCCCCCCCCCCCCCCCCACCACCACCCCCATATTGTCTTTCAGTCTCATTCCAAGCCAGAGCATTAGTGTGTCAAATACTGTCCTATCCTGGTATTATTGTGACTTGTTGGATGAACTTGAGAAAGCCTGAGAAAGGTTCCGCAGGAAAGATGCACTATGTAACAGAATTCAATCACTCCCAATAGATTCAACTCACTAACATAAATGTATGAATGCAGATAATATCTCTGTAATGAGCCCAAATCATACCCAGTTACTTCAAAGGACTGAAATTCTACCTCTCTCTTAGTGGCAACAATCAGACCTTAATAGACTCCCATTATTAATTGTTTCTATGTCCCACTATTTGAGGGGGGAAAGACTGTGGTCAATGCAAAGTTTCAAGGTTGAAGGCTGAGTTTTAAATGTACTTTTTTTTCGAAAGAATGCTATAATTACTTTTGCAAGATGAGATGAACTGTTAAATAACCACCGTGACATGTTTTGTGCCATTTGATTGGCGTGCCCCAGTTTATTCAGTCAGATAATAAAGCCATATCCTCATACTCCTCCACTTCAGTATGAAATACTTTTAATAAGAAAGCAGTCTATGATCTGAGTCACTGATCTTTCATTGTAGTGTGGGGCGATTGAATAGGAAAGGTGGTTTCAATTCACTGCAGAGGTGGCTGCACACCTTATAGTGAGAAAGACAGTCATAGGAGATGGGAGAAAACTCCAGCATGGAAGCCTCCAAATTTGTTACTCTGATATCAGAGATCAGACAATAACATTCTTCATTAAAATGCACTGATTGAAATTAACCCTCTGCAAATCATCAGACCTTTCTTATTTTGGTCAGGTGGGTGCCTGACACATGTGGAAACAACAACAACAGATTACATTTGTATTGCGCCCTTCACGTCAGGGGAATGTCCTAAGGCCCTGGGCAGTCAGGGATCCGGACCCGAGCTGGTGTTGGGATCAGGAAAGGTGGACGGCAGGGAGGGTAGGGGTAGGAGAATGACCGAAGGCAAGGTCGAAGAGGAAGGCATCATCATGCTTAACAGTATTCGAACCAAACTGAAAATTCCATGCATCCCACCTATACACCTTTCTTACCTCAATGATTGAATGAGATTAAATATTTCTTCCCAGTGCTGTCTGTCTATCTCTTAGATCCACAAAACATTACTTTAAAATTCCCTCAACTGCTGTGCATGTTCCTTTTAAGATTAAAATCAACCTAATGTGATGCTAACAGCAAAGGTATTCTCCAGAGGTGTATCAAAGTGCTAATCAAGATTTAGTGTAATGTGCAGTGACTGTGTACTTTGTAGGCAAATGCAGCAGCCAATTTGCACACAGCAAAGTCCCACAAATAGCCTTGAAGTGAATGCCTACTTTTATCTGAGGGTTATTGGCCAGGACCCCTGAGCAAATAGCACTATAAAATCTTTAACAGGCAAATGGGGCCTCGGTTTAATGTCTCATCTGAAGTACGGCACCTCCAACATTGCAGCACTCTGCTATCACTGTATTGGAGTGTCAGCCTAGACAATATGAGTTCAAAGTCCCCAAGTGAGGTTTGAACCCATAATTTTCTGACTCAGAGACAAAAGTACTACCAACTGAACCAGAATGATATGTGATAGCCCCAATATGGAACCCTTAATACCCACCTGAACAGAGTTGTAACCTTCTACAACTCCAAAATAAAATTACAGTTGAAATAGTACATTCATAATAAATGGTTCTCTGTGAGCAAAGTGGAGAGTAATTTTAATTTTACAATTTTATATTTATATAACACCCCTCATACCATCATCAACAAGAACAACAATTTGCATTTATATAGCGCCCCACACGCAGAGTAGCAACCCAGGACACTTGACAGTGGCGGAGCATGACTTTGAGCCAGGGGGAAGGGTGAGGTGACCATAAGCATGGTTGAAGAGGAAGGTAAACAGGCGCAATCTGAAGTTGGGGATGGAGGGGGCAAAGTGGAGGGATTGAGGGAGAGTGGTCCAGAGTTTTAGGAAGTAGTAGCTAAAGCACAGCCATCGGTGGTGGAGTGGAGGGCACAAGGCACATACAGGAGGCGAGAGCCAGTCGAGCGAAGGTGATGGGTAGTGAATTGGGGAATAGGTAGGTCTGAGTGGTAAGGAGGTGCCAGGGGATGAAGGGATTTGAAGACGAGTGTGAAGATCTTGAAATATCGGGAGGACATCACAGAAATGACTGGGAGCCTGAACTGGGGATGAGGACAGCTGAGCAAGGAAGGGGCGAGATGACCAAAAGAGTGGTCGAAAACAAAGATCTTAAGACATGCTTTAAAAGTGAGGAGGGAGGGGTTGAGGTGGAGGGTCTCCAGGATGGAGTTTCAAAGAACAGTGCACAGTAATACAATATCAGTGTGCAGTACACTGATACAGCAGCCTTCCCTTCCCTTTGTGAGCATTTCACAATGGTCTAGGGTAGTGCACATGTGGTCTCACATACTACAGAGGTTTGCTTTTGATGTGTGCCACACCTCAGAGCATCTCAAAGCACCTGGGTCCCTGCATGAATGCAGTTTAAAGTGTAAGATCTGAATGTATGTAAATATATAGAGCAAAGGCTCTATTTCTGACAGTGGGGTGGAAGGGGCAAGGGGTGATCTAATTGAGGTGTTTGAAATGATAAAGGGATTAGATAAGGTAGATACAGACAAATTATTTCCTCTGGTGGGGGAATCCAGAACAAGAGGGCATAGTCTTAAAATTAGAGCTGAGGAGTGAAATCGCGAAGCACTCAGCTCCCATTATCCCTGCAAGCCTAAGCCCTAATGGGTAGGGTGGTCCTATCTTTGACAAGCAGTGAGAAAGCTTACCAGGCACGAACTCTCAATGGCAAGCAATGTAGTTGCAGCTAGTTAGTCTCCAGCAATAACCCACTGCACATTTTGGGGTCCCCAAGCCTCGACTTTTGCCAACCTGCACCTAATATTATCTGGAATTAAGTAAGCAGGATGTGTCCCTCGAGGGAGAGAGTACACATTGCATTCCAATAAACATCTCTGAAATGTCCATGTACAGGTGGTATGTATGGAACTCTCAGTTTGGTTTGGATATTCTTAATATTGGTAACCTTGATATTCATGGTGATGGGTTTCTGCATGTGTCAGATACATGGCAGACCCCTGAAAAATACACATGAGGAGGATGTCCTGAAGCATATGATGAATAGGCATGGGAGTTGGGCGTGGGAGCCAAGTTGGGGGGTGGTGCATCACGGTGGAGTACTGAAAAAATATTTTTGTTAGAAACAG